AAAGGAAAGAAGGGAATGGAATTAATATGAGAAAATGGAAAAATGGAAACAAAGTCTTTGTAAATAGGGAAGGGTGGAGGGGGTGAAGGGAGGGCAGGGGAATGGGGAAAAATAAGAACCAAGAGAGACTAGCTAAAGGTGCAAATTTCCAACGATGAATGTCATTATATTGCATACCTAAAATGTACCAATAAAATAAAATTTTAAAAAAAGAATAAATGACTTTAGTAAAGTTGTGAGATAAAAGCTAAATATACAAAAACAATTGTATTTTATGTCGAATCAAAAAGGTTGGCAAATAAAATAACATTTCATTTTAACAGAATAAAATACAAATATGTAGGAATTAATGTAATAAAAGATATTCAAGACTTTTTACACAGAAAATTTCAAAGCATTGTTGACAGAAATTTTAAAAGCTGAATAAATGAGGGGGATATATATGTTCATGGATTAGAAGACTCAATATTATTAAGGTTTCACTAGTCTATACAATTCAATGCAACTCATAAAAATCTTAGCACATTTTTATTGAGGGAAAACTGACAAGCTGGTTCTAAAATTTATATAGAAGTAAAAAAGATCTAGGATAGGTAACAAAATATTTTCAAAGAAAAACAAACAACTACTCATACTACTTGACCAAGACCTATTTTGGAGCTACAGTAATGGGGATTTTTTATTGGTGTAAATTTAAATCAACAGACAAATGGAATAGAGACAAGAAATAGACCCATCTGTATATGGTCACCCCATTTTTTTTTGTACCAGGGATCGAACTCAGGACCTTGCGTTTGCAAGGCCAGTGTAGTGCCGCTGAGCTAAATCCCCGGCTGGTCACCCCATTTTTAATAAAGTCAACACTAGAATTTTGTGGGGGAAAATAGTCTTTTAACAAATAGCGTCAAGCGTGTAATTCCAGCACTCTGGGAGACTGAGGCAGGAGGATCACAAGTTTGAACACACCCTGGGAAACTTGGCAACTTAGTGAGATCCTGTCTCAAAATAAAAAATAAAACACAAAAATAAATTTTTTACAAATGAGAAGGGGACCAAGAGATGAGGGCAGAAGGAGAGAAGAGGAAGGGGAGGGGGAGGGAGGAGAGGGGAAAGGGAAATACAAAATTTAAGACATGTTAGGTACATGTACCACCCCTGTGATAAACATAATCATTATGCCCTACAAATATGTAGTAATATAAATTTAAAACATAAAAAAGCCAATGCCAGATCAAGAGGATATCCACGTTTTAAAAAACTGCAAAAACTGTTATTTTTATCTCACATCTTTAGTAAAAAATTAATGAGATGACTGGGTATATAATGGTACCATACCTGTAATTGTAGCACTCTTGGGGACTGAGGCAGAAGGATTGCAAATTCAAGCCCATCCTGGGCAGTTTAGTGACTTAGGGAGAACTAGCCTCAAATTTAAAACAAATTTTTTGTTAAAGGGCTGGGGATGTAGCTCAGTGAAAAGGCCTTAGGTTCAATCCCCACTACTCAACTACTAAGAAAGAGAGAAAAGGATGGAGGGAGAGAGAAACAGAGAGAGAGAGAGAGAGAGAGAGAGAGAGAGAGAGA